TGCTTTGAAGTATGAGAACCTATGACCATTAAATATTCATAAGTAAAATTAAACTAATATTTGTCGTGACTTACCTTTTTAATAACACTGAAGATTTTTATTTATCTGGAAGCAAATATTTGCAATTCTCACAGTGACTTGGGCTTGATAATTTTACAACTGTAACTTGTACTTATCTGTGAGTGGGTTGCTAAGGTAACTGTTATTAACTTAAGTGACGTTTTGCGCCAACATGTGTCTCACCGGATAGAAATCCAGTTATACCATAGGTATGATGTAGGACCAAGGCCTTTGGCTATCCAAAAGACGTGTGATGTAGGCCTACGTCACTTGTCTCTCACCGGGATAAGCCATTTTTGCCTTACTCATATGTTCGTGTTGAAAAGTGACACTGTGCAGATCTTTTTCATGCCTCTGCAGTGAGTCCATGTGCAAGGTCTTATCACAGAACATATCTTGGACATTCTCAACTCCCGAGATTTGTGACCGGTCCGGAGGGGGTCAGGGACAGTAGTTTCAGGGCGGACTGTCTTCACGTGTCTCCCAAATGAAGTGAAGAGAATGGCAAACGCCATGACGGTAGAGTGGCGAAGCCCCGAGTCGATTGTAAAAGCCTGCCTGTGGTCGCGATACGCTTGTGTGACAAACGACCCTCATTAAGGAGGGGGTTTCAGCCCTTTAGCTATATGTTCCCGTCATGTGTAGACTTTGCTAGCTAGCATCCCCATACTCCTCCTCTCTATGATATGAAAGTCCAATGTCGGGGGGGAGGGTTGCAGAGTAAAGGTTCACGGTAGGTACTGTGTACTTGAGGGGCAGTAGTAGACCGTGAGAAAGGTCTAATAGGTAAAATTTTTCATTCTAAACGTACCTTTCCTTTTAACGTCTTTTTGCCAATCGAAGCTTCCTTCCCACCCACCAATAAAGCCTCATCGGTTCCAGTCCACGGTCTGGTAGTTGAGCCACTCGGGTCTTGCTCCTCTCCAATTCGGATGGTTGTGCGAATCATTGCACGCTGCTCGGCCGCTCGATATCACCAGTCCTCAAGGCAAAGGCGCGTTCGCCGGCACTCACTGAATCCCGAGCTTCATTTCCTGTCTCCCGTCTGCATCTACATTCCTTCCCTCCATATTCCGTTTTGTGTCCGCACACTCCCCTGTTTCTCAGCCCTTACGAAAATGTCTTATAGGATTCCTATATATTCCTAAATGAATATATAGGAATCCTATAGGAACCCTATAGGAACCTAAAGGAATCCTATAGGATCCTATATGCCCGTTAGACTTCAGTTTGGGACCTATAGAGTTCCCTATAGAACCTATAGAGTCCCCTATTGAACCTATAGAGTTCCCTATAGAACCTATGGATACCCCTATAGAACCTAAAGGGTTCCCCATGAGGCCTATATGTTCCCTATAGGACCCAAACGGTTCTGTATAGGACCCGTAGGGTTCCCTATAAAACCCATAGGGTTCCCTATAGGACCTGTAGGGTTCGCTATAGGACCTATAGGATTCACTATAGGACCTATAGGATTCTCTATAGGACCTATAGGGTCCCTATAGGACCTATAGGACCTATAGGGTTCCCTATAGGACTTATACGGAACCCTATAGGCCTATAGGGTTCCGTTTGAAATTCTCCTCTAGGTCACTAGATGGAAGTATTGGGTTCGCACATTTCTGAAAGGGTACAAAAGTGCCCTCCCCTTACCCAAGGAAACATCTCTCAGAAGAGAGTTTTGTACGTCCCCTAATGTCTCTCCTTGCCTCATTGTTGGAATCAATTAACTTTAACAGTTCCTTATTTGCCATGCCCATCTTCCAGATATAATCATGGAATCCCGTGAAGAAATATTCCCATATTCTTTTTGAAGGCCACGTACGAAACTGAATAGACTCTATCCAAATGGAGTTTCAGTAAAGAGACGTGCTCGCAGGTTCTGTCTTCTATTTCCTTAGGTCGAGAGAAGAATACCACTTCTTCTTACCGAAGGAAGTAGATGTACAATCCAGCGACGCATGTGGGGTGGGGTCATAAATTATGTAGACCCCCGCAGTACTGGTATTAATAGTGGATGTGTCCCTACCATGGAAAATCCCCTAATCGGTTTTTTACTTACACCGAAATGCTTCGCCAATATTAACCCCTGTCGCTTTTTCGTCGTAATGCCTGGGTTTCGAAACCCAAAATATCCTCCCCGAATCCTATAGGTCAGGAGACCTATAAGACCCTATAGGGATCCTATAGGATCCTAAAGGATCCTATAGGTTTTTCGTGTTTCAAAAACCTATAGGAAAGTCTATAGGTTTCCTATAAGAAATAACTATAGGTTTCCTATAGGACATTTCCGTAAGGGAGGAGTGCACCTCTACAGTGCGCATCGCGATCTCAACGACGGGATCTATATCTGCTTGTAGATGTGTTCTATTGATATACGACAATCCTGGTAAAAATGAGAGATGAGGTTCCGGATCTCACCTTCCTATCACTTTTACTTAAGCCATAAGTCCAAAGTTTCCGCTAGATAGCTATCGAAGAGCGATGTTTGAAGGCAAATGGCATTCGAACCACTGGACGAACCTCCATGAAACTTTATCACTACAAAGCTCGGAAAGTCCTCTACAACACGGACGCAAAATGAACGCTGAGAATCTCACCTCAAAGGTCAGGGATTATTCTTCGAACTCTGGTTTTTGTGCAATAGTTTTTCCGCTGTCTTTACGAAAAGAGACTCATTTCAGACAAAAGCATAAATCAGATTTTGGGGAACACCCACCCCCATACCCACGTCAAGCTTTATGAGAATAGTTCCAGCTGTGTTTCTGGAAATTTCTCGGATGTCGCCAATATAGGCACTTCCTGGCGTTTTACGGGGGAAAAAGCCAAAAGTAATCAAACCATTTTATAGAAGAGATTCTTCCGAGTGAATAGGGATAAGAATTGTCAGTACTTGGCCCGTCGAGAAAACCACGTTTCAAATGTAGCATCTCATTCGGATCAGAAGCCGTTCCTCACGTGGGACATCCTCACTCCCCTCACGTGGGACATTGCGCAAGCGCGTAGCCTCTCCGTCGCAGAAGCTCCAGTCAAAAGAGGGTTCCTTCAGTTTATGCGTAGAGGGTAGTCGCAAGGCTCGGCCCTAGTCCGCTCCTGTCCTTGAGGAAATATAACCTCCAGACATCAGGGGTCTCCGAATGTCAGGGTTACCAGATTACAGGACTTCATGCCTTGCCTTTACCGGCGAATTGAGAGATACACGGGGGCGTGTGGTATTATACTGGACTTCTTCCCGGCAAGTAGGACTTTCTTTCGAGATTAAAACTTACGCCTATCGCCTTCCGTTTTCGGCTTTCCATCTTCGATTCCAGCACTTTCCCCCTCCCCCCCCCTCCTAAACTATTTTTTGACAAGGTCTTTACACCTAACCATTAGAAAACTGGAAGATATTTGTCTGCATAATGTGAAAAAAATTTCCGTTTGGATCCGAAAGGATTTTTGGGACAGACCATCTGACAACCCCAACGGATATGAGATAATTGACGTCATCAATGCCGGGTGGAGCTTTCCTGTTATTCGAGACATAGGACGCGTCCTTCCCATCGGTGGGTTCGCCAGCTACGCGATGGCATTCAGATTCCCGTGACTCCCTGTGCCGGGCTCTTCAGCGCTCTGTTCGCAAAGTTCCCATTGTCCCAACTTACCGAGAGTGACGTCATATATACCATGTGGTCGTGTCAAGCGCCGATGGAAAGAGGCCAGTGGCTAGGTGCGGCCGGAGAGAAAGATAGCCCCATGATGTTCACGTGTCTATTTCCCGTTTTCGGCTAGAAGATCTCATTCCAGGTTGCGAACCACCTGGACTTCATCACTTTCGAAAATAAAAATATCAGCCGCTTTTATTGCGCTTGTATTTCCATTTTAACATTCTTTGACTGCGGCTTGGTTCACGGGTCATTAGAAAATGTTGCTATCAGTAGCTGCATTTTCTGTAATCACTATCTTTATAACCACAATTATCTTGCTATTTCTTCTACTCCATTCGACGACAAAATCCAACCGTCTCGTCTTCCAACAAGTCTTCCTCCCATGGAAAAACCCCTAATCGGTTTTTGATTTACACCGAAATGCAGCGCCAATATTAACCTCGGTTGCCATTTCCGTCGTAATGCCTGGGTTTTGAAACCCAAAAAAAATCCTCCCGGAATCCTATAGGTCAGGAGACCTATTAGACCCTATAGGGATCCTATAGGTTTTTCGTGTTTTCAAAACCTATAGGAAAGTCTATAGGTTTCCTATAAGAAATAACCATAGGATTCCTATAGGACATTTCCGTAAGGACATCGAATAGAGAGTTTCGTGTGTGAGGACGTGTTTAGCCATCGCCTTCAGGGGTTGTCAGCATAGCCTTCAGAACTTAAGTTTGGCTTACCTTTAGTAGTGGAGCATGTTGATTGCTGCGATTCACTGCTTATTTACCACTGTTTCTTTCTCCGTCCCGCGTTGACCAGGCGAATGTCGTCGCCTCCCGAAAAAATATGCTCATACATTTATTTCTTTGCAGATGCCTTTTCGATTTGGCTCTCAGGAGCACGATGTGCTTCTGTTGAAAGAAACCTTGGCCGTGAAGCCCTACTTCAAGCGGGTCATGAAAGATGGATGGGATGACGTAGCCGCTTCTCTCAACCACAAGGAAATGGCGGTTAATTATCGAACGTGTCGCGACCGCGTGATGAGGCTGATCAAAAGGCCTGGGAGCAAAGCGAATTTCGGTCGAGAGAAAGAGCTGCTGCTGCGGCAAGTGAGGGAGGAATTACGTCAAGGATCGGCATTGCGCGGGGGAAAGAAAGGCAGATGCGGAAAAGAAGACTTTAATGATGTGTGACTGCAGTGACATCGTTTCATCCGTCGCCATCGACATTGACTTGGGGTTAGTCTTTCCCATTTTCCTTGAAAACAGGGAATTCCCAGCGATTGTGACTCGTTCATTTCAAATTCACATGTGTCCTGCAGATACCGAAGCTTCAACCTTGGGATCCCCGCTCCCAAACAGACAAGTCGATGCCTCTTACTACGAGGGAAAAAAGAGGAGGGAGGAGGAAAAACTCTCATTGAAGAGGGAGGAACTCGCCTTGAAACGAGATCAGCTCGCCTTCCAGCGCGAGCTGCTCAAGGCCGAGAGAGACGAAAGAGAGCGCAGGGACGAGCGCGATCGCAAGGAGAGGGAGGAAAGAATGAATGCAGATCGGGAAGAGAAGCATGAGATGCGAGAGATGATTATGCAACTCGCCAGGAAATGTCGCCATTAACAATAAAGAAGAAGCGAAGTAAAGAGACACATCCTGCCTTTCCTTTCTGAACGTCACGAGGGAGCAAAAAAATGAGGAAAAATGGAACGGCGAACCCGTCATTGAACCCAGTCATTCCCAACCCCACCGACCTTTCGTTACTTCCCCCCCTAAAAAAAAAAAAACAGATCCCGGCATTTCTCCCGATCCGCTTACAGAGAAGCAACTGAAGCAGACCATCTTGATATTACTGACAATGATAGTTTCCTCTGAAAATTTTCTTTGCATGGGAAACTCCTCGAAACAGGGCGTTACGCAACCGGAAACGCCTCTCGCAGCGAAAGGCGTAAACGGATTCATCCACGTCGTCTCGACAAACCGACATTTGCTGGTGTATCGAATCTGGAGCACATACTCGACCCCGGTATTTTTCGATACTGCACCCGACCAAACTCACATCACATCTTAATACTTTAATTCCAAGAGGTCAAAGTTGCGGTCGTGGTCGTCACCCCCAACACGCAGGCCTACGATGCAATCCCATTCTGGATCATAGGCCAGCCCTACAAGGCTACGCCTTTCCAGGCCATCCTATACTTTAATTCGAAAGAGCCCGAGTGTTGTGGTGGTGGCGTTCGTCACCCCAGCGCGCGAGGCCTACAAGACTATATCACTTCAGGCCAAAGGCTAGGCCATTCACCTCTCAAAGCGCCAGGTCCTTCAGGCTCTGTTATTCTAGGCCGTAAGCTTGGCCCTCACTTTAATGTTACGAAGCTGAACTCGCTGAATTTTTGCATACGGGTGATTGGAGTTTCCCTAAAAGTCGGAACGCATCCACTTATAATTTATTGAAAGCATGTTTGCTTCAAAATTTGAAGTTGTGCCGCTTGGGATGCTACGAGACGGAACTCATGATATCGTTACAAAAAGGAAATTGGAAGTCTCTCGTGGCGGTTCCCGACATGAGAGAATTTACTGGGTCGAAAGTTCGAAAAAGTCCAACCATTTCGACGCCATGAACCTAATTTCGGCGACAAGAATAGCATTGTACTGAATGCCTTCCCGGTCGAAGTGCGCAACTAACAATGCGAGTACGAGAAATTGTCGGCTACGGAAGTTGTTGCTACGGTAACTATTGGCAATGATCCCATGTCTTAGTCTGTCGCGTTACAATTCCCGTGAGCCGGCCCGTGAGTCGAAAGAATCAGTCGGCCAGTTTTCGACCTTGGCGTCATCGTTGAACCTTTTCTGGCGAAGATGGTCGTCCAGAGCGCGGAAGAGATGGCAGTCGGTCGGCGCCAGATCTGGGCTATACGAAGGGTGAGGCAGAACCTCCCGGCCCAGATCCAGCAGTTTCTGCCATGTGATCTTCGCGACATGCGGTCTTGTCTTACGTTGTCGTGCAGGAATCGAACACGGACGGTGCCCTGGCCTCACCGTGCGGAGCTTGTCGTCGAGCTTCTGCAGCCGATCGCAGTAGTAGGCGGCGGTGATGCTGGTATCGGGTGGGAGCAGTTCGAAGTCGATCACGCCTTGCACGTCCCACCAAATGCACGACAAGACCATTCGGTGGTGCAGGTCACCTTTCGGCTCCGGCTCTGGCTGGGCATCGGCATCGACCCACTGGCACCCGCGTCGGTAGTCGACGTACGACATCCACTTTTCTTCTCCAGCGACTGCGGAATCCAACCAGTCGTTAGTGCGCTCGTACGACAGCAGCGAAGTGCACACCTCGGCACGGCGTTCGCGGTCCCGGTCGGTCGAATCGTGGGGTACCCACTGACCCGACTTGCTCTTCTTGCCGATTGCAACCAGGTGCGTCACGATCGTGGACCGGGCGCAGCCAAGTGCCGTCGCAAAGTCGCGGGTACTTTGCCTCGGATCGGCTTCCACCGTGTGCTGCAACTGCTCGTCGTCTATTTCATATGGGCGGCCTGACCTGGGCTCATCCTCGAGGCTGTCATTTCCAGAACGGAAACGATCCAACCATCGTCGCGCTGTCCTTTCGTAAACTGCACCTTGGCCAAACGCGGCGCAGATGCGGCGACTCGATTCGACTGCTGTGATGCCAGAGAGGAAGTCGTAGAGAAAGCACTGACGTTGGGCGGTCTCGTTAAAGTCCATTTTGGAAGTCATGGTTATAGACTTTGAACGACTAAGCAACTGCTGCGTAATCTCGCCCACACACCTTTTATATACTGCTACTGTAGAAGGTTCGAGAAAGTTCCCGAAATTCTTTTTCTGAAAATTCTCGAAACGGCCAGAACTTCCGGATCGACCCAATATCATTATCATCAATTTTGATGTTCTCGAAATGCCACGAAACAGGTGCTATCGTAACGGCCGTAAGCACACCACGTATAATTCCGACGTGATTCTCAGACCTCACAGAAATGACGCCAACCCGCACCTTCGAAGGAATCGCTTTCAACCTTCATCAATTTTCATCAGGCAATGCCTTGATGAAAATTGAGAGAGCAAGCAAGACCCGCGGACGAGCAGAAAAGAGAGTTGCGAAGAGGAACGTGCTCATCGATCCTATCCCCGTCACTCGACTCACGGCGTCCCACCGTCTCGACCCGAGAGAAAGAAACCCCGAGGTCGAGGAATCGAAAATGCGCATCGCCGCAGCGGTCCATTTAAAACCTGAGACGGCGAATCTCGACGACAGACGACATCGCCACGTCGATCGCCAGGGACGTCCACCAACATCAAGAGTAAATCAAAGGAACGACAGGGCTGATCGTCGACGCCGACAACACACCGGCAACGAGGTTCATTTTCTCGGCCGCTGGCCTTTCCGCTGGGTCAAACGATGGTTACTGATAGTGAAATTCCAATTCCTTCGGGAAAATCGACATTGCCCATCGCTGTGGAACGATACTTCGGAAATGGAGTTTCATCATGGTCGCAAGAAAGCGAGAAAATTATTTTTAGTTCTTTCAGGATGTGAGGGAATGAAAACTCATTTAATTCACCTGAATGAAGTATTTACCAGGGGAGAAAATATATTTCAAAAATCCCCTCAGCAAAAACCAAGTTCCTGCAACCTATAGGGAACAGTTCCCGATTACAGGCAGAAATGAAGCCAAACAGGCTTGCTCGCACGACTCGAAATCCAGCCTCCTCACCACCGCCCAGTCCTCTCCGTCGAAGGCTTCCACGCTCGAGCTCCCATTTCCCCCGATGGCATACAGCCGCCCCTCGAACGAGACGAGTCCATGAAATGCTCTGTCTTCCTTCATGCTCATCAGCTTCATCCACTTGTTTGCCCGCTCATCGTACGCGAAGAACGACTTCCTCTGAGACCAGGACGCATCGTATCCTCCCGAGACGTAGATCAGCCCGTTGTGGAAGACGGCGACGGCATCCCTTCTCTTAGAAGGTAGAAAGGCCAGCTTCTCCCAACTACCAGCTCTGACATCCAGTCGCTCGTGCACCCCAACGGGAAAATTCTTATTATACGCCCCTCCGATGACGTGGAGACAGGAGCCCTGCAATGCAGCCGCAGCGCTTCGACGACGGTAGTTCAACTCGGGCAGACGAGACCAAGTTTCTCCTTCCAAGTCGAACTGGTATGCGCACCCGCAGCAGCTGATATCATCTTCCCATCCTCCGCAAAGGAAGATTGAGGCAGGAGACGAGGCGCATGCAGACGACGTGGCGTTGAAAGGGGGTGCAGGGCCAGTCTCCCAATTCGCTCTTTCGAGTTCGAAGATCTTCATTCTTCCTTTCCCCACCACGAACAGGTTCTTTCCAGCCGCAGTGAAACGTCTCCAAGACATATTATCCTCAGAATATGGATAATTGATGACATCGTTGTAATGCCAGCGAACAAGATCAATTAGCCCAATCCTCTTCTCCTGGTCTTTCGGCTTGGCCAAAAAGAAAACGTGACCAGCCTGAATTTGAAAATCCACGGGTTCCATCCTTGATTTCTTGGACGGGTCGGCGCCATCCCGAGCACCTGATCCACGCTTTATCGTCTTGACAACCGGCACCAAGTCACGGAGTTCGGGAACGTGATAATCTTTCGCTTCGCTGATGATTTGAGTACATCTGGGATCTCCCCGGATGAATGGATTGGAAACCACGTTTCTCTTCAAGTAATCGCAGGAGAGGAGCGGCAGCCGGACTCCATCCAGGACCTCAGGCAATAGTTTCTTCCTGCCCTTGTCGTGATCGACCCAGCGCATGCATGCCTCGAATACTTCCTCTTCCGATCTCACCTTCAAGTCGTCTCGGAGAAGAAGACCCTTAATTGTTTCCATCCTCACCTTGAGGAAACCGGGTGCTGCTACGATGTCAGTGAAGCGACGAGCCATGTATTCCAGGATTCCCTTTTGTAACTGCTCCTCACGCTGTTGCTGGGCCTTCTCCAGTAGGCGAAAGGCATTCCGCGTATTCAGGCCCTCGGTGAGCTGCGTGATGACGATATCGCAGAGATGCCAGATCTTCAATGCGCGTGCATCTTGCAAGATGGCCAGGGTTCCGTCCTCCCCATCCATGAAAAATTCTTGACGGTGCACGAACTCCCACACTCCCCTGAAGCCCTTCTCCGAGACGTTATCGAGGCGCCCGTCCCTGTCATTTGCCCGTTTGGTGAATTTGTCGTCAAAGTAGGGCGACCACGCGCCTAGTAGGAGTCTGCTGCTGGGAAAATCCGATCCGCCAACACGTAAGATGATATCCATATACGGCACTTTTCCGTCGACCTTCGCAGCGATTCTTTGGCTCGCTATCTCCAGATCAATCTTGGTTTTCTTATAACTTTTCCTTCCCTCGTCCATTCTGACAGGGCACGAATGGTAGAATAAGTTTCAGGAAATAATCTGCAAATAGATTTTAAAAACCTTGAATGAAATTTATATGATTATTAGCTGAAAGTGATAATATAATAATTCAGGATGAACATCAATTTCTATCGTGAATACTCTTTCCTTAGAAAATAATACAACTTAGGTCATTCGAAGAACTTCAGAGGACGAAAAAATATAAGCGAACTAACGAACGGCTATAGG